GAGAGAGAGCGAGAGAGAGAGAGTGAGTGACAGAGTGTGTGAGTGAGAGAGGGGGGATAGATAGATAGATAGATAGATAGATAGATGGATTACCTGTGAAATATTAATGTGTGTGTGTGTGTGTGTGTGAGAGAGAGAGAGAGAGAGCGAGAAAGAGAGAGTGAGTGACAGAGTGTGCGAGTGAGAGAGGGGGGATAGATAGTTAGATAGATAGATAGATAGATAGATAGATAGATATGAGATTAATTAGAAATGTAGCCATTTGTGATGTACATTCAATGTACATTCAAATATAATATTTAGCATTGTTTTGTTTTGTTTTTTCCCCCAGGGTAAAACCAGCTTCACCTGTACCGAGCTGTCTGTCGATGAAAAGTGACAATTCAATGGACCCTCCACTGAAGTTTCAAAGTGAAACATCACAAGTGCCCGGGTAAGACTGATATAAAAACATGATCATATTCTGTGAAGTGCAATATGCAGTGTCCATCAGTTTTGTACAAAAAAAAAAAACATGAACAAAGCACTGAAATTGCATTTCTTTCATTTAGAACTGTTTAAGTTATAACAGGTTATAAGAGATGCACAAGCAGTAGAGGTTGAAGAAGGTACCGGAATATCCAGCTGCGCCCAAAGTCTGGGTAGACATTGTAACAGGGGTTTAAAAGTGAAGCAAAAATGTCTCTGAGGCCCTCTAGTGGCTGACTGCAGACTGGAGGCTGTTATAACAGCAAAGGGAGACTGACTCCATGTTCCTGGCCAAGGTTTTGAAGTGGTCACATATGAGTGTGATGGTCAGGTGTCCACATACTTTTTGCCACCAAAAAAACTGAACTGAACTAAATTCAACAATATTTGATCACACTTAATTAAGCAATATCGCACAAATAACAGTGAGAGTGCAATATTGCTTTTATACAACAGATCTATAAACAAGAAATTAATATTGAGTGAGTCACATTTCGACACAACATGGCCAAATGTTCTGTTTATTTTTGCTTTGCTAGCAGATATAAATCCCGAAGAAGCCACAATCACTTTATAGCCCGTTGACTAGCTGGCTAGCTAACTCACAATGATTTGTACATTCCCATTAAAGGTGCTTCTGGTAAAATTGGCATCTCTTCTTCCTTTTGATCTTCATCTGATGTGCTTTCATATTTTAAGTCAAAAGTTATTCATGAAAAGTATTGTTTGCCATGTGCATTAATGATGTCGCTAACTCTACTGTAGCAACAGTTTTGAACTACAAAGTGGAATTTTACGTCGTGAACACAGAAGAGCGGAGTGATACACACAGGGAAATGTCCCAGTGCGGTTGTAGTAAATATAAGCACTGTTGGAACGCCGCTCAACCAATCCAATTAGTGTATTAGTAATATCTGCTAATATAATTTTATATTTTCAAACACAAACAGCAGAAAAGGCAACAAAGAAAACAAATACGCCACTTCTAAGTAGCATGCATTTATAAATAACATTTGTAATGTACAAATGTGTTACATTAAAGGAAAAAAACAACATACAAGTGTTAGTGAGGTGTTGGGCAAGCAGAACAGCTTCTGTTTGCCTGCAACTATACTGGAGGGATACATGCTGTTCTTCCAAAATATTTTCCCTCAGATGTCACTCCAATATCAGACTGTGAAGGCTATAGCATATGTTGTTCTTTCAGCTGATCCTGATAGGGGTTGCCACAGCAGATCATTGGTCCATATATTTGATTTGGCACAGTTTTTATGCCAGATGCCCTTCCTGACACACCCCCAATTTTATCCAGGCTTGGGAGCAGCACTTGGAGTGCACGAGAATCGAACCCGGGCCGCGGCAGTGAGAGCACAGAGGCCTAACCACTAGTCTTCCAGGGACCTTGTGAAGGCTATAGCATATAAATTACACAATTTTCATCCTCAGCTTCTATGCACATTTGCATGTATTTTTAGTGCAAACCAATATGCTCTTAAAGTAAAATTTCAAAGCCAAAATTCATTACTTGTCAAAATTCATTATTTTGTGATCTTTAAAAAATAAATAAAAATCTGTTGAGGTAAGTTCCTACCAGCTCTGCGCACTGTTTGTGAAAGATTTTTTACCCATTCATCCTGACAAATTAATTCCAGGTTCCTCAGGTTTGTTAAATGTTTTTCCTGTCAGTATTTTTTTTTATTGCAAACTCATGTTCTCTTATAGTGAATTTTCAAAATCAAAATTAATTATTGGTCAGCAAGAAATTTAAACTGAAAAATGTTGCTTGCTTAAGTATTCAACCCCACAGGTTTCCTGGAAACTCCAGATGAAGATAGATAGATAGATAGATAGATAGATAGATAGATAGATAGACAGATAGATAGATAGATAGATAGATATGAAACTATTGATCGATAAGAGAAATGAAGAAATGTAGCCATGCATGAAGTATGTACATTCAAATATAATATTTAGTAGGGTTTTTTTTCACAGGGTAAAACCAGCTTCACCTGTACCGAGCTGTCTGTCGATGAAAAGTGACAATTCAATGAACCCTCCACTGAAGCTTCAAAGTGAAACATCACAAGTGCCCGGGTAAGACTCTGATATACGCTGCATACATATGTACAAATCTGTTACGGCTATTTACAGCTGCATTTATGAAAATGACACTTAAAAAACACCAGCAGCATGAGATACATGATCATATTCTGTAAAGTGCAATACGAAGTGTGTCAATCAGTCATGTAAAAATAAACAAGGCACTGAAATTGCATTTCTTTAATTTAGAGCCGTTAAGTTGTTACAGATACACAGGCAATGGAGTGTTTTGACACTATCCATGCTCATTCAGGACAATCCAGCAGGAGAGATCACATACATCAGCACCCAGCTTTGCGTCTCTCAAAAGTGACTGGTCTATGGACCGACCAGGCTCTTTCTTCAAAACCTCTGGGCACAGGTAAGAGTTCTGAAAGACGTTTTCCAGTTATGTTTTGGAGGCATTTTTTCCTTCAGGTGTCACTTTTATGATATTGGCAGAGAGCGTTGTCTAACATGTCATTTCAATATCTGACTGTGAACGCTATATCATAGAATTTACATCAATTTACATGATAATTATCAAATCATTCAGTGAGCACTCATGCCCTGTGCCCAGCTTTGCATTATCTCTGGAACTGTACTACAGGGATGGAACACTGTTCTTCCAAAAGATATTCTCTGAGCCGTTGTTTTGATGATGGTGGTGGAGTGCTTTCTGACAAGTCAGTCCAAAATATCCCATTGGTGTGAAGGTCATAGCATATGATGTGCATCATTTTCATCCTCATGTTCATTCAGGCCAATCCAGCAGGAGAGATCACACACATTTAAGTTTGTTACAGTCAAAGATGTTTCGGGACAGGCACCGAAGTGTTCTTGTTTCATTTGACGTCAGCTTTGTTATCAGTGAAGGTAAAGTTTATGCACTCTTTAGATTAGCCCTACAGTGATAAGGAAGGAATTCTGGCAAAGTACTGCATATTGTGCCCTAGGACCCACCAGATCAATCTACTTAGAAAGGAATCAGCTTGCATCTAATGGGATTGTCCCTGTTAAGGTAAGTTCCCTTTAGACAAGAGTGCCAGTAGTAGACATCAAAGGTATTCAGAGAAAAGTCAAGGAGAGCAGCGGAGAAAATGCACTAAATGAAAATGATGTAGAAAGATGTGGGTATGGTTGATATGATAATAAATAAGGTTATTTAATACCAGAGCTGGTCTTTTTAACAACTGTATTTTGACACTTTTCTCCAAAAAAAATAGGAATAGAACCAAGAATCAACCAAGAAAACCAAGGATAAATGTAACTGGCATTGCCAAAAGCATGATTTACTCTGCTCATGAGTAAGTAACTTCTTGTTACATATTTATTTTTTATTGCGTTTGTTTATTGTTAAAAAATCTATGTGTGGTCAATAATGTGGTCATATTATAGGTGCTCAACATTACCTGACAAAGAATTATGCACGAAATTAAAATCCAGCCTAAAGAATCGATTCCAGCGGGTGTCTGATGGACTACAAAGAGATGGATTTTCAACACTTCTCAATGACATCTACACAGAGCTTTACATTACAGAGGGAGGAAGTGGAGAAGTGAATAATGAACACGAGGTGAGACAGATTGAGACAGCATCAAGGATTCACCAGTCAGCAGACGACAAGCCAATCAAATGCAACGACATCTTTAAGCCCTTACAAGGACAAGATAGATTCATTAGGTCTGTGCTGACAAAGGGAGTTGCTGGCATTGGAAAAACAGTCTCTGTGCAGAAATTCATTCTGGACTGGGCTGAAGGCACAGCAAATCAGGATGTCCACTTCATATTCCCACTTCCTTTCAGGGAGCTTAACTTGCTGAAGAACCAGCGCTTCAGTCTAGAGGATCTGGTTCACCATTTCTTTCCACAGCTAAAAGAAATCAAGTTTACTAATGTTACCACACACAACACTGTGTTCATCTTTGACGGTCTGGATGAACATCGTTTATCCCTGGATTTTCAAAACAGTAGGGTTGTATGTGAGGTAAACATCCCTACCTCAGTTGATGTTTTACTGACAAACCTCATCAAGGGGTATCTTCTTCCTTCTGCACTCATATGGATAACCTCCAGACCAGCAGCAGCTGGTCAAATTCCTCATGAATGGATAAGTCAGATCACTGAGATCCGAGGATTTAATGACCCTCAAAAGGAAGAGTACTTAAGGAAAAACATCAAAGAAGAAAGCCTGGCCAATGATGTCATCAAACATCTGAAGCTGTCAAGGAGCCTCTACATCATGTGCCACATACCGGTGTTTTGTTGGATTTCAGCAACTGTTCTGGAGAAGATGTTAAAAGAAGCAGAAGGCAAAGCAATTCCCAAGACTTTGACTCAAATGTACACACATTTTCTCATAATTCAGACTTGCATTAGAAAGGAAAAGTATAATGAGGCTCAGAGAGATGACAGAGAGATGATTATCAAATTAGGAGAGCTCGCCTTCAAACAGTTGCTAAAGGGCAATTTGATCTTCTACGAGGAAGACCTGAAAGAATGTGGGATCAATGTCAAGGATGCAGTCCTATACTCAGGAATTTGCACACGAATCTTCAGAGAGGACATTGATCTTCTCCATAGTAAAGGAAAGGTCTTCTGCTTCGTACACTTAAGCATCCAAGAACATCTTGCAGCTTTGTATGTGCACATAACCTTCAGCAAAGGGGACAAAACTGTGCTTAACCAATGGAAACCAACAAAGTGCGCCACTACATTTCCATGCTTGTCCCTCACTGACCTCCACAAGAGTGCTGTGGACAAAGCCTTGCAAAGTAAAAGTGGGCAGTTTGACCTGTTCCTCCGCTTCCTTCTTGGCATCTCTCAGGAAAGCAACCAGGCTCTACTGCAAGTGCTGTTGCCACAGATATCAGTATGCAATTCCCAAAGTGTTCAAGACACAATCGAGTACATCAAGATCCGGCTCAGGGTGCGCCTTAATCCAGAGAAGTATATCAACCTTTTTCACTGCCTAAATGAACTCAACGACTTTTCTCTAGAGGAGGAGATACAAAACTTCCAGAGATCCAGGCGCCTTGCCAAGACCAAGCTCTCCCCTTCACAGTGGTCTGCTCTGGTGTTTGTTTTGCTGACTTCAGGAAATGCACTAGATGTCTTTGACCTGAGGAAATACAGCATGGACAATACAGATGAATGCCTTCAGAGAATGCTGCCTGTTGTGATGGAGTCCAGAACAGCTGAGTAAGTTTTCATGTCTGCAATACATGGAAGACGATTATAATAATTTTCAGAAAGTTTTTTTTGTAAGAGCTTTGTCTCCTGATTTGTCTTCCAGAGTCAGAAACTGTAACCTCTCAGACAAAGGCTTTCAAGCTCTGACCTCAGCCCTCAGCTCAAAGTCTTCAATACTTAGAGAACTGAAACTCAGTGGTAATGGTTTGCATCATTCTGGCATAAGAATTCTTTCTGAAGGTCTTCAAAGTCCACACTGTAAACTGGAAATTCTGGAGTAAGTTCATCAGGTTTTGAACACAAATATGCAACCTATCTATTTTTGTTTAATATTACCAGTGCTGGTCCAAAATGAACAAATTGACCATTACAGTGTGCTGTACTTTCTTAGAAAAAATCTTTAGATGTTAACACTTCTGCTTAAACCTTTTCTGAAAGCAAACCCCTTTGTTTTGATGTTCAAAATAGGAATTTTAAGCATTCTCCCCATACTAGAACGAGATAAAATGGTTCTAAAGTATACTCCTTTGTCTATCTTCCTAATTGTATTTGTTTTATTGCAGGTTGTCTGATTGTGCTATTCAAGCCGAAGACTGCAGGTCCCTTTTCTCAGCCCTTAATTTAAATCCTTCACACTTGAGAGAGCTTGACCTGAGCTTCAATTCCCTGGGTGAATATGGAATATTCCTCCTCTCTGAATCTCTGCAGAATCCACACTGTAGGCTGGAGACATTAAAGTGAGTGCTAGATCATACTTTTAAACAGTCACTTAATGTCATTTATCTAGACAAAATGATTGTTTTAATATTTTATTGAAGGTGAAACTTACAATTTGTCACCAGGCTTTGCAGCTCTCAACTAAACAGCCAAAGCTGTGCTCCCCTGGCTGCAGCGCTGAACAATAACTCCAGCTTGATTGAGTTAGATTTGAGTAAAAATGCTATTAAGTACTACGGAGCACAACATCTCTCTAATGGCCTCAGGAATCCTTCCTGTAAACTGAGAGTTCTAAGGTAGGGGATTTGCCTAAAACATTTTTATATCACCTTAAGGTTCAGAATAAATATTCACTTTCCGGACTTAACTTGAAGCTTAAAATGTGTTATTTTGTGTTTGTGGGAGAAA